TTCAGTTTCAGAAGAAGAATTTTTCTTCTTTAGTAGGTAGAGAACATCAGTGTGCCACCGCCAAAACAAAACATTCTATAAATAAAACACAACTAACTTGACCATGAAAATCAGCAAGAAAATACAGGCCTCTTACCTACATACATATATGTCATACATAGATACATACAGGGTGCTCTGTTTAAGCTGTTTTAACCTGGCTACAGCAGCTGCAAGCCTCTTTGCAACCCCCCTCCACGTCTGACTCTCCTTTTTATTGTGTATTTGACTTAATCAGTGTCACATCTGATACCACTGGTGCACGCTCTGTTCTCTACAGGTTTTCTCCACTGCAAATAACCTTTTTTTTACAATAGTAGTGCTGACTGAAGTGTCCTTTATGTCCTCTCCAGTGAACCGTATAGCCAACAACGGGTTTAAGCCCTTCGAGATGCTCTTTAAAGCATCTCACTGTGACGACGTGGACCTCGTCAAGTCATTTACTGGAGAGTTCAACAGCAAACTGGGAGGCATGGTGAGGACTTCTATCTCTGCAAACACATGGATAAGCTGTGAATCAACTCTTGAATACATGTTGCATTTTGTGGTTTGTCTTACAGCTGCCTAAAATTTGTGGCAATGACGATGTCACCTGCAAGCTGGAGGTGATGTCACAGGGTCACTGTCTGGAGTACAATTACGACTATGAGAATGGATTTTCTATTGGTAGGATTACCTGGCAAAAATCCCAGAATATAACACTTATGTCTTAAATTAAACATTTTCACGATCATCTTCTCTCTTCTTGTATTACACCCTTTAGTACCAGGAGGTTGGGGGGACAACTGGGGCACTCAGGGCTCCCAGGACTATGCCTACTTTGAATCTGGCTTTGCCACAAGCACCCGGCAGCTCCCCACTCAGAACCAAGACGGCAGCATGCAAGTTCACCACCGCACCAAGAGGCACAGAAAGATCAAAGGCCCGACTAAAGACCACAAGATCCAGATCTACTTCAACATCACAGGTAGAATGTCT